ACATTAAATCAGCACATTTAGATCTTTCATACACATCATAGATACGAACTGTGATTATTATACCATTTTTCTGATTTTGTCTTCAGTGGAATAATTTAGTCCACTTATATAATATAAAATCATTTCTGGTAAAAAAGAACTTGCTTCTATCTGGTTTCCTTTTATAATTTCTATCTCTCCTGATATCCTGTTCATTATTCTCCATGTTTTCTTTAGCTTTTTGAGTGTATTTAAGACCGTTAATGTGTTTACCTAGTAAGTCCAATATCTGTGCTCTCTCAGGAACAGTTCCTGTTAATTTCCTCTGTAAATTTGCTATGCATTTTCTTGTTTCTTTGAATTCCATTTGTGTGTGTGTGTGTGTGTGTGTGTGTGTGCGTGTGTGTGTGTGTGCGTGCTTCGTGTGTATGTAATACTGTACATTCTGCAAATTTTGAACTTAATGTGATAACACTGGAAATAATATTTATTACCTTCCTATGGGTTTGTTTGTTTGATTGATGATTGATTGATTGATTTTTCCTTGTTGCAAGCTTAAATTCTTTATCTAGTGACTCTTAGAACTATGCATTTTTCTATATTCTTTGTCATTTGTGATCTCTGAAGTCTCTATTTAGTGGTTAGATTTCCTCCAATGACAAGAGTTGGAGGAAGACAGAAAAGACAGAGAAGTTAAGAAGAGGAAAAAATCCCATAGTTTGCAGGCGTCTGTCTTGGGGACTCAGTAAGCCCTTGGCTGCTGTTTGAACTCTCAGTCTTCACTTACGAAGAACACTAATTCTCAAAAGAAGCCAGGGTGAAAACCTCGGGTCTTCGTAGGTTTTCTTCTGAGTGTGTATTTCTTTCCTGGGCATCACCTTAATTCCAAACCTCCTGAGCACACGCAGGTGGTACCTGATGCTTTTATTTTCCAAGGAGTTTCTGTCCTCAGAATTTCCTCTGAGTTTCAGGTCATCTGCATTCACCTTTCTATATTTTTACTGGTATTCTTTGGTGTGTAAATTTCTAATTAGATGAAACAAAGGCAATGCCTTGCCTCCATTCTCCAGGGAAGGAGACTTGGACACATGCAATTCATTGGGAATAAAACCTGTTTCTCTTCCCTGTGTGAGGGACCAGGAAAGGCAGGGTGTGTCTTCCACAGCACCCCACACCAGGGATGGGTAGAGTCAGGAGCAAGCAAAGGTGTCAGGATTTTCTACCATTTTTAGATTTTCTTTTTCTTGATTTAGTATTCGCTTGATTTTTATAAACCTTTGATTGATTTTCAGAGTACAGACAAAGTTGATCCTGACATTTTTTCTCAGTTGTTTGGTGTTTCTGTGAAGGGATGAGCCTTTGAAGATACCTACTCTGATATTTCCACTGATGTCACTGGCTTATATGACTTTTAAGTCCAGAGGTGAGGTTCTGAGCCAATATTCTCCGCATAGCAAGATGACCCAGGGCCCTGCATTATTTGAGCAAAATGATTCACTGGATTTCAATTCTGTTCTGAGACCTCAAAGAAGTGAATGTCGTATCATTTAAAAGACTCTTTGCCAAAGCGGTTGATTATACTATACACAAGATTTAAAGGACAACACAGAGAAACCCAGCTAACAGAGACTTTGTGAAGACAGCATGACTCCTGCCAAGCAGTTGTCACTCATAATCACAACCAGAGAATGCAATATCCTGGTGATTAGTGAATTCTTTCATAACTACAAAGCTGTGTTCAAGGCGTGCTGAGGACCAGCAGAGTCCAAAGAGAGCAACTGGGTGATATTGTCACATAAACACACAGATTCAGGGTAAAAGAATTAGTGTCCCACCTCGACTTTGCTTTTCCCCTAGTTGTAGAGGGATTACTTGGTATTTCATATAGGTAAATTATACAGCTTATTCTTCAGAAACTAGCTGAGTTGCTAGTTTTAGCAGTGTAAGCTGAGCTTCAGAGAGGTTACATAATCTACCATTAAGGTGCAAAGCTTTAATGAATCTCAGGTTAGACAGTCTATAAAGCCATTCTCCTTTCAGCTACATTTTGAAGGATTTTATTTTATAAATTAATGTATGTTTTTCTTAGCCAAACAACAAAAAGAGCTCAGTTATTGTCTTCCTAAGAAGCCATTGCATGCTTCAGGGGAGCTGTGGACACCCTCCTGCTGACTGATGGTGACCATGGTGACTTCAGCCTCCCTGGGAACCACACCCTTTGGCAGTGTGCAAGCCCTGTCCAGCTGTCAGTGATATCCTCGCTTCTCTTTCTGGGTGAAGGTCCTTGCAGGGCATGACCTCTGCTAAGCTCATGCTCAGTGGGTCATGG